GCTCTGACTCGCTGCTTCGGATGGCAAGTGCACAATTTAAAATCCTTTTACTTAGGCCTGCACAATATCTAGCCCCTGAAATAATTACTTGGACCTACCTCACTGCGGATATATTTTTTTTAATAGCTCACCTGAGAATATGAAATTTTATTAAACATGGAAAGGGCCCTAAATGACAGCTCTGAGGCTGTCATTTAACCTGTTATGTGACAGTTTAATCCTATCATTTCCCTTGGCATGCCCTTTTTCCCTCGTTTCCTACACTGAAATCTCATTTGTGAGAACTTTGGCCATTTGACTGGGGACTCGTGGACTTCCACTGCAAGCACTCAAATTGCCCTTGCATGTGCAGTAAATCCACTGTGCTCCAAGTGTGTTGGAATGTATTGTGCAAGGCCCTGACTCAAATGAGGTCCTGAAAACCTCAGACAGACAAATAGCCTTAAAGTAGGTATCATATCTCAGTTGAGTGATGACTGTGTGATCACACGAGCTCTAACTTGCCAGTCTTGTCCCTTGGTGTGTGCAGGGCAGCCATCAGCAGGTCCCCTCTCCATCTGAGGGCAGGACAGGTGGGAAATGGGGTCTGTGGGGATGGAAGCAGGACTGTTGCACCGCCAAAGGATGATGGAGAAGTGGTACTGCGGAGGCAGGCAGAAGTTGTGGGGATGGGGGCATTAGATGCCAGCCATAACCCTTCCCTCCTCTATAAATTGGAGTATAAACATTAGTATGTTGATATCTTAGGAGGTCCACCCATGTATTTCAGGTGTTTGCAGCATTATAAGCTTTGATTACAGATTGAGGAAAGAAAGGAGGAAAAAGCAACAAAGCATTAAACATCTAAACCGATTAAGCAAGGCTTTCATTTATAGCAGTGGCTTCTATTCCTGTTATTCCTGTGCCTTTAGCAGTTGAAAGCTTTTAAAAGAAACCTAATTCATGACATCAACATCTGACAGTGGTTACTGAAGGTGAGCATGTTGCTGTGCAGAAGAAATGGCAGAATAGAGATCTTGTTTCTGGTGACTGTAGTGCCTGGCCCTGCCACTTCAATGGCAAATACCCAAAATGGGAAAGAGAAAGAATAACATAGAGGGGAGAAAAGCAGTTTGTGTTTGGTGCTGCCTGATTTGCATCAGTGCTGGAGACAGGCAGGGAGTGCAGTCACATCAGTCAAGCTTGGGCTGGCTGAGCAGGGAGGCCAGGCTCTCCCAGCCTGGCTGCAGTTGTGCACAAGAGCCACAACCTTGGCAAGCTAAACTAGGTGTAAGCAGAAGGTAGAAGGAAATAGAATAAGGTGGCAAAGACATAGGAGGATGAGTGCTGAGGGGGCTGGAAGGTCTCCAGCAGCTCAGCGTTACATCCCAGACAAACCTTTCAAGTTCTTTGCCTCCCAGGCTATGACAAGCCATGTGTTGGGTCACAAGCTTCAGGGAAAAACTCCACTGGATCACAAGATGGGGGGGGAGTGATCATGGCTCCAGGCTGTGGCTGGTGGGAAGGAACCAGGACCTGGCAGAACTCCTTTTGAGCTCTAGCTACAAGTCCACAGCTGGAGGAAGCTGTGGCTCTTCCCAGCCCACGTGAGCCACAGCCTGGGCTATTAGAGAATGTGGAGTCAGGGCTGGACAGTTGTACTTGCTCTCAGGGAGCTGTGGGTCTGCATGGGTGCACAGCTGCAGAGAGGAAAGGTGAAGGCACCTCCACCGCTGCTGTGTTGTGATGAAGGCCCCTTGATTCCTGGTATGGGCATGGTCCCACAATAACAGAGCTTGGTCGTTTCACCTCACTTGCTTTCCTGGCGCCAGGGTCAAATTAAGGACGTAAAGCTGGGTGACGGCTGTAACAGCCCATCCTCTCCTATATTTGTGTTCCTAAACTAGCCCTCATTCCCAGCACGTCAGCTTTGGGTAATTGATTTCTGGTCTCTCCCACCTCATATTTTCCAGTCAGTCTTAATTGCCAGGACTGTATTAGCTGGCCATTTAGTTTGGGCTAACCCAATAACTTTTTTTTCTGCTGACTTTAAAATCTCTTTTGTACAGCAGGCTGAGTTAGACTGCTCTCCCTTCAGTCAATTTATAGTAAAGACTTCAGTGCAGATCATTAATCTTCACCTGGAGTGTTTGGATGAGTTATTTAATATTAGGGAAGGATATACCAATATCTGTCTATGGTTTGTAAATTAACTGTGGGGTTTTTTTGGTAACTTGCTATTTATGGGCTCCCTAAGAATATGAAGTCAGGTTGTGTTTGGAAGAGGGAAAAGAATAAATTACTCAAAAAACATGACATTTACAGGGGATGATAACAGGGGCTAGATCACTCTTCCGTGGCACTATGAAGATGGCATGTGCCATGTATTTTCTTCCCCAGAACTTACTTCACTAGTTAGCAGTGACACAGATAAGTCAGCAGCAACGAGTTGCAGCAAATTTCTGAGGGAGAGTAGCCTGTTGTTTTAAAAGAACCAAACAACCAAACAAAAAACAAACACAAAACCAAACCGAAGAACATTACAACAACCCCCACTCCCATCTCCCAACTCAAAAGCCATACCCATACAATAAACCTGTTTGAAACAGGTTGGTAGTAACTGCTAGGGGGGTAAAGTACAAGACTGTTCCCTGAGCTATGAATCCATTTCCTCTTCACCACGGAGGAGAAACCCACATTTCAGCATTCAACATGTAAGAACAAAAATCTCAAAGGAAATGCTATGACTTTTGCCTCATTTTCCTTGCCACAGTACCACATTTTTGTTTGGTTGAAGAAGCAGCGTTATTTGCAGAATCTCAGCAGGCAGCTTCTCAGAGTTAATTATAAGAGAACTGTACTTTGAAGCCATCTCTCATTTGGAGGCGTAGATCCCCGTGAGAGTGGCTGCAGCTGGGACTCCGACAGTCTGCTTTGACCATGAGGTATGTGACGGGATTGGTTCTGATTTGAGGGGTATGGAGTCCTTACTACTGATGGTAAATCAAAATAGTAATTTGAACTATACTTGTAATTCAGTTTTAGTGTACGTAAATTTGATGCTTGAAATGAGCAAGAAAAAGCAAGCAGCTAAGTGATGCCTGCATGCTTCTGTCCAAGAGTCTTCCACCTCAGTTCTGGGGGTGCCACTCCTGAATTTTCTCTCTTGATTTTTGCTTTGAGTGTGTCTTTGTTCCAGTGGCAGAAACAAAAGGCCTTGGATCTCATTGTGGGAGTGAAATACGTTGCATGCTCTTTGCAATGGGAGTTCTCTAGACAGTTTTAAAAGAACCTCCCCCCCAAAAAAATCCAACCAAACAAAAAGCACCTCTCCAAAAATGTGCCTGAAATCTCTGACCTTTTTTTAAACTGTGAATCCTGCTGTGCAGATGTGTGCTTCTTCTGACCTGCTGAATGTTGGAGCTAAAACGAAACATACCTTGTTCTCTCTCTGACAGAGTTCAGCACATGTTGAGGGAATCAGAGGAGCAGTATTTTGGCACAAGCACCCAAAATCCGAACACACGCATACATGCTGCCTGATGTTTCATTTCAGGTTATAAACTGGATTACAACATGCTTTCACCCTGTGGGCATTACCCGGGGAAACCAGGCTGGATCTGCCTGATGCATAAAAGCAATCTGGCTAAATGATTGCCAAGTGGAAAATAAATGATGTATGTAGAATCTATATTTTTTAACAGGAATTTAGATTACATTTCAGTCGTGCTAAATGATTATTAACACTGTTTACCTCATGAGTCCAAGAATGGAATAAATATTATTTATATGCTGGAAACTATGCTTAAAGAGCTCAGGACAATATTTTAAACTTGTAAAGTAACTATATCTGTCCTAATTAAGTCAGAGTAGCACAGACAGTATTTAAACTCCACATTTTTTTCTTCTGGATGCAAATGGACCTTTGTGTCCTTTTATTTGTGGGAAGCTTTGTTAGCCTCAGTTAGCTGAAATACTTGCATATGATTTGTTTTTTCAAAAGAAAAGATACACTGTATTTAGAGATGTAAATACTACCTTGTCTGCAAAAACCACCAGCTGTTATACTGGAAGACAAAGCTAATTCTATGTTGCTTTACTTCAGTAGTGTCTGTGTATTCACAAGCATCTTTTCAACAACCTTCTCTGCATAGCTGAAAAATACCAGACACCAAATTTCTTTTTATTTCCTTTGGTAATAGCCTAGTAAAATCTGAATTGATCTGTGATTTTAAAATCTTTTCAAACAAGTAAATAGATTAACTAAGAGAATACACCTTTGCATTAATATTTGTACAAAAGTTGAACAGACTGTTAGCTTTGATTCTTGCGTTCCTTGAATATGAGTGTACTAATTGCCGCCTTAAATATTTGACTTGAGTCTGAGTCAGGTCAAATACGCAGTTCTGTAGTAGAAGAAACTAGTGTTGGTTTGTGTGTCACTAGCACAGCTTTCCAAAGAGGTTTTTTGCTTCTGCTTTAAACATCTGGAGAGACAAAGAGCATTTGTGGGGTCTTTTGTTGTTGCTGAAAGTTGGAGCAGGGAAGAATTATGTTCCAAGAAATACTCTGAATCCTGGAAAAATCAGGGTGGAATCATTAAGTGTTAAGCTTTATCTCCTTTATAAACGAAAGTGCTTTCATTTCATCTGCGGCGACTGTCCTGGTAATGGATGTTACATAATATTTACTCTCCCCTCCGGAGTGAAATCCTTTTTCCGATTTGCAAGCAATATTTGCATATGTATTTCGTAGCTGCATTGACATGCCAGATGCACAGTGGTAGCTGTCTCCGCCTGCTAATCCTGTAATAACATTCTGGTGACCAAATTCAATGGCCCTGCGCGGAGCCTCGAAACAGCTGATTGCTGAGTAGGGAGGAAAAAAAATAACCCAGCGAATCTGGTTGCAGCTCTCTGCTGCATCCCTATCCCACAATCCCTTGCACCGTTTGCTGCAGTCTTTCTACACAGGCTGAGTGAGAAAAAGATGTGCTAAATAAAGATTGATTGGTTTGAATCCTGAAGGGGTCTCCCACTTGTAAATGACCCGGGGGAAAAAAAAAAATTCATGACGACTTCACTGGGCCTCCTCTTATTCTTCCATTTTTCTTTCCACCTGCCCTCTTCGTGGAATGGAGCGTCATTCCTTAGAGCACAGAATCTGTTGTGCATCTAATAATGACTATGCTGTGATAGGGATTCTTGAACAGTTTTACGCGTGAGGCTTGAAACATTAACAGATGATGGTTTGTTCGTTTGGATTACTGCGGAACTGCAGCTCCGTCCCTGCAAGGATTTTATCCTCAGCACTGCACTGATTAAGCTATTTTTCTACAAAGATGGGTAGGTCTAAAATGCTCAACTTTGCTCAGTGTTATTCCTGGTGGCTGCTGCCTGGTTGCTCCTTCTGTTTTGGCCCCCGATCGTTCATTATGCTTCTGCATGCTCTAAGAATGAAGAGGGTTGCTGTGTTTTAAACAAGGCACCGAGCTGATTGCAAGAGTGGGAGAGAAAGGAATGCAAATTTAGCTTATCAAGCCTTTTACACAAGTGGACTGTGTGGTGGTTATGATTATTAATTTGCTCGGTGTGTTCTGTATTGGCTAATTTGGGGGCTGCTGCTAGAAATGGCTTGACTCTGTTCTTTAATCCTAAAGACTGGGCAGGTGATATATCTGTTTTAAGGACTTTAAACTCCAGCTTCCCCAATCCTTGAAGCAACATTATTGAGGTCCCCCACCCTTTCTTATGGCTCTCAAGGCCTAACTGTTCCTTTGGAAACGTTGCCATTGGAAACCTATTCATTCATAATACATGAATAGACCCTCTGGGTTGTGAATACCATTGATAAGAAGAGGATGAACGAGCTGCAAGCAATTTGTTCTCCTCAGGCTGTACTTTCAGGCTAGTTGCAGTTCTGGCTGGGTGGAGTTCGGTGATAGCGGTGTATCAGCAACACAGAATTCTGCTCTTTTAGGAATAAATCCTGGGAACTGAGCAGACAGTTGTAAGTTTTCCCAATGTCTTTTTCTCGGCTGGGCCACGGAAACTAATAGAGAATTCAGTAACTGTTGAGGAATTCCAGAGCTCATTTGAAGATACCTGTAGAAAGGGTGCACTTTCATATTACATGGCTGTATTTATCTGAAACAACTCTTCTGGAACTGTTATTTGCTGTACCCTGAAGTTTTTTTCCCCATTTCTAATACTATAGGGAGTTCTTTTCATATGGGTGGGGCCGCACCCTGACTTTCCTTCCTGAAGGCATACATGCGTAGCAGGGCAAGGCTTTCCACTAGCTGAGAGAGCCATTGTTTTCTCCTTTCTTTGCTGTATAGTATGTTTTGAATAAAAATCAATAGTCTATCTCCCAGCAGAAGGAAAAAGAACAATGTTACTTTTGGGGTAGCTGGAAAGATAACGATCCTTGAGCCTCAAAGGAGTGACAAAGAGTCTACATTCCAGAACCCTTTTCTGCACTTGATTTAGCAAACCTGAACTGGGTTTCCAGTATGTGCTTCTTATAGATAAATGGGTCGGGGTTTATGTCTTGTTTGGTGCAATGTTTCACAAACATTTGGCTTTGCATGTTTAAATTATGAAGTGTAAATATATGGAGTAGTAATTCTCAGACTTCTTTTCAAAGCTCATGTTTCAGCTGCTCTTTCTTAGATTGTGAGACAGAATAAACCTCTGAAAAGAGCTCTGGCAGTTTCTGAGCTCAGAAGATGCTACTACAAAAAAAGAACATTTTTTTCTTGTAAAAATAGTGTTACTGTGCGAAATCTTCCATTGGTAATACATCTGAAACTTAGGTTGCTGTTTTGAGGCACTGCTGCTAGCACTGCAGTAAATCAGAATAAAGGCTGTCTTTGGCCAAATTCAAAAGGATTGTTTACAATCTTCAGCTTTTCCTCAAATAGTCTTTGATTGTACAGTTACTTTCATTGAATCAATGGGCAAAATCATCCTTCTCATAGCTACATCACATTCATCAAAATTGCATCAAAGGTGGAGTTGGCTCAGGGAGGCTGCAGAATCCTGGAAATTCCATACTCCAAAAACTTTTTTAAATGAACCACTTGCCTAAGAAGTTATTGTACCTGGTAGTGGCCAAAACTGGATATGTACTGATGAAATTCTATTCTCAGGTGCATGTTTTAAACCTTATTTCTGTGAGCATGGGGGATAAATGACAATCATGGCCTGCTGCATTGCAGACAAAATATCAAATATTGAAAGCACTTATTTCTGAATTGTTAATGGTTTCTTTCACTAACAAAGATTAAAGCGTGAACATTGGAAAATTAAAGTAGCTAACGTGATCTTTGTGTATGAAATGCTAAGAATCATCTGATTTTGCAATGAGATTGAGGGAATGTAAAATACTAAGATGAAGATCAGATGAAATCAGTATGAAATTTCTTATGCAGGAGTTTCCTTTGTGTAAAGTCTATTTGCTGGTGTAGCTGTACTTGATGGCAGAAAGATGAAATTACAGAAAATACCTGGCTGCTAGAGAACTTTCTTCTGGTAAATGACAGGCAGCATTCACTGGAGACCTATTCTTTCATATCTTAAGTACATGGGTTTTTAAAATAGTCTGTGCTTACTCTGTAACAAAAAATTTACACTGTTAATAACATATCGGTATTCTTCTTACCAAAGAAGACTTCCTGCTTCTGATTATCTTGCCTGTTTTGTTTGGGTCCGCACCCCTAACTTTTGGGTGGGAGGCAAACACTGCTGCATCAGCAGCAAAGTAGATTTTCTTTTGAAACACATCACTGAAGTTCTGCATGTTATGCTGCCAAATGCATGGATACGTTAATGCATATTTGATACTCTGCTCTTTCTATTCTGTTTTGTGAAAGCTGGATATTTTGGTTCCACTTCTTGTAAAGCCATTTTTAACTCAAGCTTTTAAAAAGTAACACGGGTTCCTAATTGATCTCCTAAGGTTTATTGTGTGTGATTTATGGCATTTAAATAGGTAAAATTAATTTGTGTTTATGTAATATTCACATTTTATCTTACTATGGGGAAGGAAATGAAAAAAGTGAAACAAATGACCAATCCTGAAATCATGCATTTTTAGGTCATGAATAAACAAGGTATTTTATGAGTACTACAGCCATTTTTAACCTTGCAGATTGCCCTTTCTCAGGAAAAAAAGGAAACAAAAGGGCCTGCATAAATGTTTTCCATCGAATTACATGTCAGTCACTGCTGTTGGGTATTTTAATTGTGAATAACTTCATGCTGCTGTATTTGCTAGCACAGAGGTGATTCCCCAGGAACCTGTTATCAGGGAAGTCAGTACAGCATGATCCATAATGACTGTCATTATCCTAGAAATAGCCACTTGCTCAATGTACTAAGTAAACCATACCTGTATGGCTAAATACATAGCTCAGGAAGAACAGCATGAGTTCAACTCTGCCAGGTTAGTGTGCCATGCATTCAGCACAGGAAGATCGGATGTAACGCTGCTGATAAAATGCTACAGGTCATGCAAATCGTTGTGGAATTGAGTGACCTTTGAATGAGCATGATCAGCACCGAGGCAGAGGGCTTGTTATTTCTGTCTTGGAAAGCCTGAACTGCCCTCAAGCCAAATATCAAATTGTCTGAAAGGGATGACTAAAAACTGGGGTAGAAAATGTTTATGGAAGAAGTTACTACCTCAGGAGTGGAGCTGCAGTGAAGGAGCCCAGCTGGACTTACACGAAGAGGAGCCTGTTCGCTGTGTGTGCAGGAGGGCTGGCAGAAAGTGCTACGACAGAGACGCTGCGGTCAGCTCCCTGGGGACGAGCCTGCGCCTCCCAGTGCTGTAGCCGCTAGGAACGCTGATGGAGAGGGGTTCTGGCTGGGCCACCCTGCCAGGGCCTCTGCTTGTCAGGTTTTCCTGAACTATTTTAGTAGGCAGTTTGCTTTTCTCTGAGGTTGCTTCCTTCCTTTTCCTCCCCCATCTTCTCTTTCCACATATGAATTCTGTTGGCTATAATCTGTACCTCCAGCTGAAAAGAAACTAAGTTTTTCTCTCCCTGTGCCTTGTTCCAGGACAGGAGGAGTTCCAAGCCTGCTGGCATTCCTCTAACCTGCAATTTTAATTGTCAGTCAGTAGAGCTTTCCTTACCCTTTTAATTCATGCTTTTTATGGCAGGGGTATGAAAAATCTTTAGACCTAGAAACATGATTCTTACTACTCTTTCCGCCTAGAACGCCATTTTCCCTGCATTTATTATTTGGATGTGCTTCATGTATCCTTCACCTTACCTCTTCTGATTCTCAGCAGCTATCAGTTGCCTCTTCTTTGCTCCGTTTCTTTTATCGTGAGACTTTTCACTTCACCTACCTTCCCCTTGTTGTTGATGCAGAATTTGAGCACTCCCTTCCCAGGGCCTGGCTGATTCTGGAGGTTCCTTTTTGGGGTCTTTCTGGAGTCCATCTTTGGCCATACCAGCACTGATAAGGGAAAATAATGTTAGGCGACCCATTTTCAAACTCTGTCTGTGATGCAGCCGTTTGACTGGCTGGTGCAGTTCCAGTTTAAGGTTTTGCCAGCGGTACTGTAGATGTAAGAAATTCTATGTTTGTTAGCACTGGCTGAACCTACTGGTGCAAGAACGTTTTTATTGTGGGATTTCTTTAAAACCAGACAGCCCTGTAACTCTTTCAGTCCAGAGACAACATGCCTTTCCAGAATGCCTGCTCAGACAGAGGTGTTATGTGTGGTGGTGTAGACTTGGCTGACTCTTCCCCAGGCTTTCATCAGTGATAAACCATTTAGAAGTTTAATTCTTCACTGTTTTGGTTTTATATGACAATATGAATTCCTGCACAAGGATGAAACGTGAATGAATTAGTTGTTGATTCTGTTATTTCATGGAGTTTATAAGCCATTTTTCTTCTTTTTTTCTTTTCCCTGCCCCACTCCAGCAGTGTGCAGGGTAGAAGGGAACAGGACCCATATGTCAGTGGTCTAGGATGGCCAGTGAAGGCTCCAACATCCCAAGTCCTGTGGTCCGTCAGATTGACAAGCAGTTTCTGATTTGCAGCATATGCCTAGACCGTTACAAGAACCCCAAAGTACTTCCCTGCCTGCACACTTTCTGTGAGAGGTAAGTCCTTTCCTCAGGCTTGTAACTAGGCATTTGCGTCTTGTAACAAGTGCAGAACTCTGCCTTCTTTAGTGGACACTTTTCTCTTTACTTGTAAAGGTCATGTTAATGCACAATAAAGTCTGGGAAGGCTGGAGAGGCAGAGATATAGAAAAACACTGTTGTTTGTGGCAGGCAGGAAGAAGAGACAGCAGTGGAATATTTGGAATACATACCCTTTATGCAAGAATACATAAAAGAAGATCCAATGAAACTAATGAATATAGTAACAACAGTGTGAAAGGTGATGGCAGTCAGAATTTGGACCTTCAATTAATCGTCTCAAATTTATACCGATTATTCTATAATTAGAAAAAACAAAAACCTTTCTTTGTTGATTTACTAAGCAGAGAAATAATTATCCTATCCTGTAATGTCCAAGGGTGAGACATGATATATACATTATTAATAACCAGTGATTAAGTGTCTTCATTATTCTGCAGCTTAGCTGACTGAAATGGAAAAACTCTGAAAAGAGATGTGATAAACCAGCAACCTGCCTTCTACTGTATTCAGCTGGATGAACTGAATACACCTAGTGATACTTCAATGTTACATTATCTATCAAATGGTGGACAGAATACAGAATTCAGAATACCTGAAGAATTGTTGGCTAGAGTTCTTTATCTGATGATAGGATGCAACTCTGTGGATTGTATATTGAATGGCATGAGAATTATAATGGTATTTTGTGTGAAAATTTAGTTCAGGAGATTTCCACCTCTTAGAATTGTGGTGTGCATATCTAATTTTGCACGGGGTGCAAGAAAAATTGAGGATCTCTGAGTGTGTCAGATGAAACTGTCTTTTGTAGAAGAATAGGAAACCCCAACTTCACTGAAGTCAGCAGTGAAACTCTCACTGAAGTCAGTGAAGTCAAGATTTTCACCACCATGTCTTAAGTTTCTTGACTTCAGCTCATGTGTAAATCCTAAGGTCAGCTTCTGGTTTTCACTGTAATCCTCTTATGCTGATCTGGTTATGGAGAGAGGCTGGAAGAACTCTTCCAGTGTACTCCTGATGTACAAAGCCTAAGCTCTCCTTTCACAGAGCTCTTACTGGGGGGGTCAGGAGGAGAGGTGCCAAGGGGGGATAAACAGTGGTGCAAGCAAAGCCCTTGGAAGTGGATAAGAGCTGTGTAGCTGTGCGAGGTCACACTTTCTTGGTTGGCATCTCACGCGGAATTTGGTGTAGCACTGGTCCCCATAAGAACTGCATTCTGCAAAGCTTCCTGTGCTTATGGGACTACATTGAATTGCCAGTTGCAGTTGGTTGTTGCATGCCCAGCAGCTGTTAACTTGATTTTGGAGGCCAAAAGTGGCAATAGCTGTCACCTAGGCCAGTCTGCTGCGTATTGTTGATCACAGAACTTTTGTGTCAGATTTATATTCTGTGAAATATAGTTTTTCTAAAAAAACCCAACAACCACACACATGCACATATCAAACACAAACAAACAAAGATGTCCTCCAGAAAACCCCTTAACATAAACTGTGATAATGTAGGACATGCTTCTCTGTGTAGTAAGAGAGCTATGTTGATTCTGGCTAACTGCCAAATAACATTCCTAATTGAAATAAATGGAAAAATTTCCATTGGTTTCATTGGGACCAGGTTTTAGCTCTGAAACACTAAACCTGCACATACAAGTTAATAAAGGAGATTCTATTGGAAAGACAAGGGTCAACCACCGGTTAGTCAGTTAAAGATACAGGCTCGAATACTTGATGCAATAACTTCATGTCTCTCAAACTTTATCTGATAGTTTATCATTTTTACTATCCTGTGGGCAGGATGCAGTAGATGTCTGGAAGCATGGATCCACTCTGCACAAGTACCTCAAAGAAAGGCCCATAACTCTTATAATGATGTCAGCTTATTGAACCTTTTTTCATGTGACGGAGGAAAAAAAAAATCCCCTTAACCACTTTTACTTCTGAAGCCTGGTGATGTACCTTTCCTTTTATAAGTAAGGGTAGCAATATTTCAAACTAGTTCTTAAACTGAGAGTTTAAGAGAGTTTTTTTCCTCTTTGATGATACTTTGCCTCTCTTTTTCTCCCCCTCCACCTCCCTTCCCCATAGGTGCTTACAGAATTACATTCCAGCCCATAGCTTAACCCTTTCTTGCCCCGTGTGCCGCCAGACCTCCATTCTGCCAGAGAAAGGGGTTTCTGCGCTCCAGAACAACTTCTTTATCACCAACCTGATGGATGTCCTGCAACGAACGCCGGACAACAGCATTGAAGAGTCCTCCATCTTGGAGACTGTCACCGCTGTTGCTGCGGGCAAACCGCTTTCCTGCCCCAATCATGATGGAAATGTAAGTGAGATGAACTCCTGTGATATGTACAGCTACTGATATGTACTGACCGGTCTGGTTTGTCATGGATATTTTGTTCTAAAAAGATAGTGGGGGAATTGGAATCACACTAGTTCTTTGATTCTACGTCAAAAAAAGACAAGTAATTCTTAAAATTAACTCAAATGCTCTTAGTGGAGCATCTTAAAGTAGTCAGGATATTATTTCATCTTACCAATCATCTTGGATGATACTGTCTTTTAGCACATTTGGTCAAAATTGTTGTCCTGCAAGCACTATACCTTGTGCCTTTGTCTCTTTGGGATGGGTTTCCCTAGCTCTCTTGCTTGTAGAATCAACTATTGCTGTGGGAACCTGTGTGCTTGTTTACGCAGTATGTGGCAGGGACCTTGTAAGCTTAACTGACCTGCACACTGAGGCAGTACCAAAAGCTATTTGAGCATATTAAGATGGAGCCAAATAAAAGGGTATCTTACCTCAGGATGCTTTGGGTCAGCACAGGCTAGGAACAGAGAGCTTCTGTTCATCTGCAGTGTTTTGTCCATCTCCTGTATCAGTCCTTGGAGGCTGCTTTGTTTTTTTTCCCCTCCACCTACTTTTTTGCCCAGCATCCCCCCCCCCCAATCATATCAGTGAATTCATCGGCAAGTACCCCCAACTGAGTAAGTATCCCCAGATTATTATCACAACATCTCTAACTCTGCTTACTTCACAATTTGCAGTGTTAACCTGTGTGGCCTCATGGTAGGCATATGAGCTCCTGTCTCATAGCCAGGCTTATGCAAACATGTAAGTAGACCACATTGCAAAGCTGAGCAATGCTGTGTTGTAAACCAAATGCTGTGCTTCTATGCAAACCAAGAAATATGTGCTAGTATTTTAAGACAGCTTTCTGGGGACTGTTTTATTTGATGCAGTTTAGGTATATTGGTTGTATAGGAATAATTCAGCTGATGATAGGTAGTGATTACTCTTACAGAGGAACCTCTCAGTTCCCCTCTCCTTTACTGACCTGCTGGAATTAGGTGGACTTGTAGAACTGATTTGCTGTACACTCTGATTAATGAATAACTGGTGTAACTTTTTAATGTGTACTATACCTATGTGTGTGTAGTGGTTACTGATTAATACATTCCTAATTTTTATTTGCATTTTATTGGCTGTTCTTAAAATGACTCACAGTTCTTTTCTGATACAGCAGTCGTGATAGGAGCCATTTGATTGTGAAATGCAGAAGAAAGTAAAAATGAAGATATTACTTGTTTTGCATTTTACATTATCAGCTGATGATTCTTTGGGTGTGCTTAGAAAAAAAAAGATTTGTCTACAATTAAAAATAGGTCACCTTATACCTCTCTGAGAACTTCTTTCTAGGGAAAGGTGGATTTGTAAGCCCTCTAAACCACACTTGGCTTGCTTTGAAACATAGCATGCCTTTTTGGACTCTGAGTAGTGTGTGATGGGAATATCTTCTTGCTTCGGTATCTGGGAGGGTAGGGGACAGGCTGAGGATTACTCTAATGTAAAGATTTCTGGAGCTAGGAAATTAAAAGCTAAATTGCACACATTAGTCCTTGTGATGGAATGAGCTGAGAGAAGCTTTGGGGAGAGCTGCTTGATGCTGGCCAGGTGGGTCTGGCTGCAAGGCAGGGTGCGCAGGGCAGGGTGCTGGGCACCTTAGGCCTGACTGAGGCTTTGGCTGGCTTTGTGGGTACACAGCACGAGGACGCTGTGTGGCAAGTGCCTGGCTAGCAGCTTTGCTGGGGGCTCTACAGAGTGAGAGAGGATTGAGGTGGTAGCTGGAGGAAAATGCCTTCACAGAGCCAGCAGTCATTCTGCATTGAATCCTCTCTCCATTAATTTTTACGTATTGCTTTGGGTACGGTCAGACCCATTGTATTTTTACTATCAAGGAAAAAATTTGCATTGAGTATGCTTATTTAAATATTACCAGATTTTCTTCGTATTAGCTTGGAAATAAGTTTCTGTTTAAACAATTTCTTTCAATCTTTCCAGCCATGCTGGATTTAAACCTCTCTGATTAAAATCAGATAGAAACTGATGCGCAGATACTTTCTCATTGGCTTGCCTGTCTGCTTGTAACTTAGCCTTCCTCAGGCCATGTAGATTAGATACTTTCCCTTCCAGTTGGTCTCTTATTCCCACCACTCATCTTTTCCATATGCGTGCGTATGTGTATGCTATTCCTTCTGCGCATATCCTCATATCTTCTGTTGTGGCATCTTTGTTGTGTGTGTTCTTACGAAAAATGAAACTTAGCTTGTAGTATCTTAACATGAGAGATGGTTTCTGGTGCTTGAACTATAAACAAATGCTTCCTCATAATCACCCAACACAGAGCACAAATCTATGTTCTTCTTAAATCGGGGTAATAGGGCACATATGTTACAGAACTTTTTGAACCCAACAGAAGATTCTTATCTTTTAACTACACATTAAAATAAGATTGGCTTTATTCTCAGCTGCTAAACACCAGCTCTTGTTGGATATAAGCATCCTGGTTTGGAAACATTGATCTACAATCATTTAGGGGTAGGTACAACAGCCAGGACAGAGAAGGCTATGAAATTCTAGGTCCATTACTTCGTAATATGTAATGAGTGGTGTAGCCTCTTTGCAGTCACCCATCACAAAAAAGTCCATGCTTGAGTTTTTATTTGAATTTGGAGTGAAAGTCAGCCCAGATCCATGCTTTTACAGGTGCAGTGAATTTTCTGCCTATAGAGTGTAACAAGAGAGCATACCCAATATTAAATTAAATGCTTGTAACAAAAACCCATGCCTTATCTCTGACTAGGTTTTTCTCAAAGGATCACAGAATAGCTGGGCAGCTTGACAGGTATAAGATCTTGTCTAGAAAAACATTTCCTGAACTTGTGCAGGTGTTGCTTACTGCCTATATGCTTCTCTTAGAAAAATAAAAAAGCACCTATTCATCCTTGATATTCTGATAAAGTGACTTCATAACATACCTTTTAAACCTTGTTTTTTCTCCTCACCTCTCTACTTCCCACCATGTCGGTTACTTGTGTATCCCGTTAAAGTGTAATCTAATTTTTTCTGTACTCTGCAATATTCAGTGTGTCACTGAGTGTGTCACCAATGACCTGGATGAGGGGTCAGAGTGTACCCTCAGCAAGCTCGCTGATGATACAAAACTGGGAGGAGTGGCTGACACACCAGAAGGCTGCACTGCCATTCAGCAAGATCTGGAGAGTTGGGCAGAGAGGAACCATATGAAATTCAAGAAGGGCAAGTGTAGGGTCCTGCACCTAGGGAGGAACAACCGCAAGCACCAGTACAAGTTAGGAGTTGACCTGCTGGGAAGCAGCACTGTGGAGAAAGACCTGGTAGAAGGACCAGGATGTCCTCATGGACAACAAGCTCTCCATGAGTCAGCAATGTGCCCTCACGGCCAAGAAGGCCAGTGGTATCCTGGGGTGCATTAAGAAGAGCGTGGCCAGCAGGTTGAGGGATGTTATCCTCCCCCTCTGCTCTGCCCTGGTGAGGCCACATCTGGAGTACTGTGTCCAGCCCTGGGCTCCCCAGTTTAAGAAAGACAGGGAACGACTGGAGGGAGCCCGCCAGAGGGCTACAAAGATGATGAGGGGACTTGAGCATCTCTTGTATGAGGAAAGGCTGAGAGAGCTGCGTCTGTTTAGCCTGGAGAAGACTGAAGAGAGGATCTTATTAATGCTTATAAATATCTAAAGGGTGGATGTCAAGAGGATGGGCCAGGCTCTTCAGCACAAGGGGCAACAGGCACAAACTGGAGCACGGAAAGTTCCATCTGAACATGGGGAAAAACTTCTTTACTGTGAGGGTGGCAGAGCACTGGAACAGGCTGCCCAGAGAGGTTGTGGAGTCTCCTTCTCTGGAGATATTCAAAACCTGCCTGGATGGAACCTTGTGCAACCTGCTCTGGGTGATCCTGCTTTAGCAGGGAGGTTGGACTAGATGATCTCCTGAGGTCATTTCCAACCTCTACCATTCTATGTGATTCTGTGATTCTCTGAGACTAAATAAAAAATTCAGAATGTCAGCGTTAGACTCTTAGTGAGCATTAGAACTAATAAACTGAGCTCACTGATGGCAAAATTTTGTTCTGCCTCAAGGAACCTTTAGGACAGTTAGGAAGCAATAGTGTGACTCATACAACCACATCTAACTGAAATGGAAAGTCATACAAGGGATTTGGGTGGTTCACTTGTATGTGAGCATGTTGTTTAAGTCATGACAGTCTTACAAAAGTTTTTTTAAAAGTTTTCTTAAAGCTTTTATGTTTACTGCATGGGTAAGGCAAAAGCTATGACTAGGGAGAACAAAACTCCACGTTCTAAATATTACCAGATATCTGGGAAGTGCCCTCAGGTAATCCAAACTTACATTCTTCTAAAAGCCAAAACATACAAAACTAAGGTACTCACTAGTCCTGGGACAGAGGAATTAAGCATGTGTGTGATGAGGAAAAAGGCTGGCAAAGAGCAGACTCATCCTTTTTCTCTGGACTGCTGTTTTATTTCAAACAAATAGAAGCAGAGGATGAACAATGTAATTATTCAAATGTGATTTTAAAGAAGGGGGACTTGTGATCGGTGAGAGCCTTTTTCTCAGGACCTGAACTTTGAAGGGCTGGAATTAGTGTGCTTTGGCTTTGTGAAATCTAATTCAGAAGTACCTGCATCCTTGATTATGCAAATTTAAAGGTTTCTGTAAATTCAGTTAAATTACAGTAGCAAAGATATTAATGGGTCTCTAATGAGGTCATTGTGCTGAAATATGCTTGCCTGGTTTAAGGTGGGAGTTAGTGGATGGGATTTCAGAACCAGTGGGCATTAATTCACGTTTCATTACAGCTGATGGGAATGTTTCCATTGACTTCAGTGGAAATACAGCTGACGCCAGTGTTAGATGCCATAGTATATCCTGACCAAGAGCCCTCTTCAATTTGGAAAGAAGGAGTTCAGGCAAAATTTTTTTTCTGAGATGTTTTACAAAGCAATCCTGTTATCATGAAAAGCTTTCTGGGAATGTCACAAAAAATGATGCCCATGTTGGGCATGGAGAGGAGAGGGGAAAAGCCAGTAATACATGTTTGTCTGTAGTTAGAAATTAATCTTACCTGATTAAGAAATGCTAGACAAAATCTTAGGAAATCAGCTTATCTAGGCACTTGAAGCCTGAATTGTATTAATATTAGGTTTTCTTTCTCCTTCAGCTATGGCACAATCCAAAGATTTTAATGGGAAGTGAAAGCTGCTGTACTCAAAACATTTTGAATTTGACTGAGACAAAGGTGACTATATCTATGCAGACATACATACTAGGTCTTTGTGGTCTGCTTGCTATTACCATTCTAGCTTATGTGATTCTCTGGTGCTTCAGTAATGAGGAAGGAAGTTGATTAGGCTAAACTTTAATATGCCAATGAGATGCTTTCTTTCTTTATATATGTTGTTGCAAATATAATGGTTTATTATGAGGTGTTCAGTAGGAAACAGAAATATTAAAATATTCTAATAATTGCATCCAAATATAAAAATATTGAATAAGTAAAGGGCTTATTAAAATATCTTGAACCTAAGCATTCAATTATGAAGAGGCAGAAAGATGAACTTTTGACACTCATTCAAAAGAAATGAAATTTTTTAACCATATAAAAAGATGTAAGAGTTTCCTAATAAAATACTGTTCCTTTTGGTTCTTTCTCGTTGCAAATTTTTGAAACCTTTGAAAAAAATTTAAATCCGAAACTTTGTTTAACTCATTTTCTCTATGCACTGTAAGACTACATCACATCTTAGTGCCTACCAAAGTAACTGTCAGGCCTTAGAGGATCTGCTCCTGTGAGACTGCTAAATTCACAGTGACTGGAGTAGTGTTGATGGGGGTTGTCATTCTTTAGAAGGTCTACTTTTATTTTTTTTTTCTTGCTGATATATTTGATCTTACACAGTTTATTTGGAGCAGCTTTTAAATTTTCTCTAAAGTGGCTTACACAAAGGGCCAACAAATGACTAAACCCTCATCGCGTGTGTATCCCCTACCTTGTGAATTGAGATAAGAAGGAAGAATGAGAATAAGACAGAAAGGAGCTTATCGGAGGAAAATCCCTATTAATGCTAATAGCCACATGCCAATTATGGTTCTTACTTGCCCCTCCTAATTCTCAAGACATCTTGGAGCAGCCAGCTAGTCCACACGGTGCTGTTACATGTCCCTCTGCTCACCTGAAAATAGCCGGTTCTACAGAACCATCTTGTTGTCAACCAACATCTCCAGCACAACCATCTTTGAGCAGGACATGTGAGTGCCAGAAGCATCAGCTGAGTTATTCAAGATTCTGATGCTATGTTCTGAATGGAAGACAGCTGCCAATGGCTTGCTTTGAAGCATACACTACAAACTTCCTTATATACTTTTAATAAGCCTAAACCGCTTTGTGCTCAAGGACTTCCTAGCTGTAAAAGAAAATCCCATGCTAAATTTGCCTATATGTGCATTAGCTTGACTAATGTATGATTTTGGGCACAGCACTTTTCTGTTTCTTTCTCTTCATGAATATATTCAGAATTTGGGGTATTTATTACATGTAAAGATCTGTTTTTATCTCCAGACAGCATCTTACTGGGTACGTAACAGGTTGAAACAGTCTCCTCTTTCAAGTGTAGATCAGCACTCTTATTATCATCTCAGATATGAGGTTTTGATGGTTTTAAGGGATTAGTAATGGGATATGGAGTTTTTCCCTGCAGCATGTTGGTTCATTTAGGGTGCTTTTCTCTAGCAAATAAACAAGCTATTTGGTGAGCAACATCGAGTTCATGTTCCATGGGTGGCCCTGTTATGAAAAACAGCCCAAGTTTACGCTTTCTTTGGCAGAACCTCTGGGGAAACTAAGGATCAAGTTAGCAAGGGGACTTGAATGCCTTGGTTTTTTGAGTTGTTTCACAGAGTAGTTGAGAGACACCCCAAAACTCACTATTACGTAGTATAAAGATGATGTTAGGGCCAGCCTTGAAATCCAGCATTCTGTTTCCCAGGCTGCTGTTCTGACACTTTCTGATAGAATAAAATGCATTTAAACCAGTATTTTGGTATGAAATATCTAAGAATATCAGCCACCTTTTAGGCAGTAGTTTATTGGTGTCTAAGAAAGGAGAAACTTTGTCTCAGAGCTTGGATGATAACATGAGTTCAAGACCCAGTAAGATGTGCTTTGAGTGATGTTACTGCTGCCATGTTTGAATTTAGAGTTGTGCGCTTTTCCAGGTGATGGAGTTTTACTGCCAGTCCTGTGAGACAGCCATGTGCCGGGAGTGTACAGAGGGAGAACACGCAGAGCATCCCACAGTACCACTCAAGGACGTGGTGGAGCAACACAAAGCTTCCCTCCAGGTTCAGTTGGATGCTGTCAACAAAAGGTATGGAGGCTCCACTGCTTATTTGCCATTTTCAGTTCTACATTGGCTTCCTATGTTAACTTGGGTAGATGTTTTAATATGCTGGTGCCATGGACCTTTACCTAGAAAACAGGGATAGTGAGGCTAGCATAAGGAAAAAAAACCCACCATTGAGTGGGATGCACTGAGGGATTAAAAAGTAAAAGATTCCTATCTGTCTTTCACAAAACAGAGACCATTAAAAATGCAAGTGTCCTCCAAAGAAGGAGCATAAAATGTTAAGGAGAAAAGTACTAGCCAATATTTCATGATAAATAAATAATACTGGATGCTTAAAAGACTAGTACAAACACAATGATGCAGAAAGGCTGAAAAAAAGAAAAATAAAAAGTGGAGTTCATCTAGTTATATCTTCCCAAGTAGATACATTTGCATAAAGGACAGAGGATCCAAGGTCTCCTTGTTGGAAATGCCTAAAGTTTCATGGATTTCCACAAGGGAGGGCCCTGGCTTAGCCTTATTTTATCAGACCAAAACCATGATGTGGTTATAAAAGGAATGACCTTACTTCTGGGAAATGACAGAGTTTAAAGACAGCCTGCTGATGAGATTGTTTCATCGAAAGGTACCAGGGCAAGGGCTGATGTTTAATGACTTTTGAAACAGCAATCTTTGTACTTTAATCCCTCCCTCAGGCTTCCAGAGATCGACTCAGCACTTCATTTTATATCTGAAATCATACACCAGTTAACCAACCAAAAGGCTAGCATTGTAGATGACATTCATTCCACTTTTGATGAACTCCAGAAGTGAGTGTGCTGCTTATGGAACTGGAAGTGAATTATGGCCTTAAACACAAAGTAAGATGCATGTTTTGTTTCAATGAAAAGTTGTTAATTTAATCAGCCAGTTTTTACAAATGATGCAGGATGCCAGTTTGACAAATTGTGTCTGAGATCCAGAGGAGAACTTTGTTTTCCTGAAATCAAGTGCTGCAGAGCCTCACTTGTGGGTGCCCAAGCCTTAGAAATGGAATCCAGATCGTGTACGGGCAGGTAGCCCTTTGTGCATGGTGTGTGAGGATCTAAAATGGCCAACACACTAAGCAGGCACCTGCTTAAAGCCAACATGCTGATGTGCAGATGACAACAGGGGAACACCAAAGGAAAGTCTGAAATCCTTGGGCTCCAATCCTATGACCACCCCCCGACCACCCCCTATGAAGATACAGGCCAAACAATTTGTCCCTGAAGAATTGAGCAAGGCTCGCTGTTTTGCTTAAAGCCTTTTCCTTTCAAATGCCTGGTAACATACTTCATGTTAGAGATGTCACTGGTTAGAACACATAAAGATTGGAGGGACTTCTCACTTTCTCAGGGGAATGCAGAGAGCAATAGATTCCAGAGCTGCATTTATTCACTCTTTTACTTCCTATCTGGATAATTGATTCTTGTGGTTTCCGCCCTGTATTGCAGACTAAGCTTCAGAGGAAGAAAAGAGAAATCTGCACTTTTACAAGGAGAAGTCTGTAGCCTGGTGGGTAGGGTTTTAATTGAGGATTAGTAAGTCTGAATCAGGCAAATGAAAGAATTTAGTTCTTGTCTTCCTGGGCATCAGTTGTCTGTTTTATATAAAAGATCTCTTCCCTTAAAGCAGCCTTTAAAAGAAAACATCAAGAACTGGAATTTCCAGAATGCCTGATAATATTGTCATCTGTGGGCATTCTCTGCAATTACTGAGCAACTTGAACATCTCCAGATTATCTGGAGCAGAGGAATGCTGCATTCCTGGATCTGGAAAAAGCTTGATCATTAGGAAGGTATTGAACTGCTGGGCCTGTGAAAATGGAGGAATTCTAACATGTGCACAGGATGTGTACTTTCAAGAACACAGGGAGCTGAGAACTCTGGGGGCACAGAATTCAGTCATCTCCAGAGCTAAGCAGCAGATGAGGAGCTTTTAGCATCAAAAATTTGGACTTTGATCCCAGGTTCATCTAAATGTATCCAAGATGTCACAAAACCTTATTTTCTTAGCAAGCAAATATACTCAGGGTGTGTACAAAGTTCACGCAAGATGGAATATGATGTTAAATTATCTTACTGTTGTTTAAAGGGATTTAAAACAGTTTAAAAATGATTTTGGGTGGTAGAGAACCAAATTTTCACGAAGCTGCACATAAGCAGTAAAAGAGGCATCATCTCCCCTGTTTGTATAAAAAAGAGCGTTTGGAACTGGATGTTACTTTTGAATGAATAGTAGTCCTGCAAAATAATTCAAACCCAAATATTCCATCCTTCTGATCATGTACTATGCAAAAATGAAAAAATGAAAGGGCTACACTTTACTAAGAAAGTTGCTGATTCAGTTTCAGTTGTCCAGTGGACTGAAAGAAGCCTTGTATAAAATACTCTAAACACATTTTAAATATTAGTTATGGTAGGATTTAATATTTTCCATCTTTGTAATGAAAGAAAACTTTATTGAGAAAATAATGGTTTTAAAACATAGCTGCAAGTTGTCTTCCTCCTTGGTTTGTGGTTTGTTATCCCCAGTATATGGGGTTTTGTCATCCTGAGACTTTACTAGCTATGATGCTCTCTGTTTAACTACTTATGTCCTTGAATAAAGACAAGGCAGATTAAAAATGCCTTGTATTGAAACCTGAGAGATTTTTAGATGCCTAGAAAAACAGGTAACTTGAAATTTCAGTGTAGTCTTGAAATTTGTTCGTTCTGTTTTGCTTGCAAAAGATTTTGTATTGTTATCACTTTCCCATATCAGTAACTCATCAGCCTGGATTTTCTCCAGTGGGTGAAAAGCAGATAGCTTTGTAAAATTCAGAGGAAAAATGCCCTTAGAATGCAGCATCATTACATGGTGTGTCTCAGCAAGGGAAGAGTATCTCACAGCAATAAATACACCCAGTCTCTAAGTTTACTTTAAAACCAATTGAAATGTTTTGAAAATATTTACTTTATAATGATGGTCAACAAAATAACTTCTCTGACCTGTAGTAATGTCTCTTCCCTAGTTCTTCTCTGCAGGAAAAACATACCGCATAGTCTGACTGGGTACTTTGGTTTGGGGATTTCGTCAGTGGAGAGTGGGGGGGGTAGCTGGAATGTTTGGGTTCTCCTGATTGTCATGAATTTCTCTGCTAGGTTGTTATAATTCAGGGATCCTTTTTCCAATTCATTGCAAAACTGGTTTAAGAAAAAATGTTAGCCTTGTTCCTAGCCCACACCTATTAATTTTGAGTTCAATATCATTTTAAGGATTTTAGACTGAGGGCCAGAACTGAGCCTATAATAAAAGCTTTTTTTCAGTCTTAAATATAGAGTAGCTACTTGCTGCCCACCAAAATTTCAGGCTACTCAACCCAACTCTTCCCAATATCCACAACCCATCCTTTATGTTTTGCTTTCCTGCCTGCTGAAACCGGGGAATCAACTTACCCGCTTCTGCTGGGAAGACTTTGCCTTCCTTCACTTATTTAGATCAGGAATCATACTTTTCCTCAGGATGGATGTACAGATCTTGAGAGCGCCGCCTTGTCTGTCTCTATAGAGGCATAACCCAAGGTTTCCCTTGACTCTGAAGAAATAGTTTCAAGAAGTTTCTTGCAGCCCCCCTTATTAATGGGCCTGATGACTCCAAAATATCTCAACCTCTGTGCACGCAGCTCAGTTCCCAGTAACTATCTCATTAACTGTGACTGCTGAGAGTTAGATGGAGCAGGGTTCAAGCTTCCACTTTTGGAGTCTTATTAATTAAAAAAAAAAGACCAGACAGACAGGAGGAGCAATAATTCAATATCTAGTGTGACAGTGGATCTGTGAAGCCTTGAAGACCCAAAACAGGGTATATTTTTTGTGTTGCAGCATGATATTCCAAGAACACATAGGGGATCAGTGTGGTGTTTTTTCTAAAATGAAACTTTGAAATAAACTCTAAAATAAACCACTATAAATTGCATTTCTGCAAAGGCCTTCACATATAAAGCATACTACATCTTGCTAGGATAGTTCTTGTAACACGATGCTAATCTGGTGTTTGGTAATGCATGCAGGTCCTCCAGACACAGCTGGATACCTTACTTGAAGGACAAGAAAGCATTAAAAGTTGCAGCAACTTTACGGCCCAAGCTCTCAACCATGGCACTGAAACCGAAGTTCTGCTGGTGAAGAAGCAAATGAGCGACAAGTTGAATGAACTGGCCGAGCGGGACTTTCCGTTGCAGCCCCGTGAAAATGATCAGTTGGACTTCATAGTGGAAACGGAAGGCCTGAAGAAGTCCATTCACAATCTGGGTACTATTTTAACCACCAATGCTGTTGCCTCTGAAACAGTTGCCACAGGGGAGGGACTGAGGCAGACAGTGATCGGACAGCCCATGTCCGTTACCATCACAACTAAGGACAAAGATGGGGAGCTCTGTAAATCTGGGAACGCTTACCTCACTGCTGAACTGAGCACGCCTGATGGGAGTGTAGCGGATGGAGAAATACTTGATAATAAAAATGGCACTTACGAATTTTTGTATACTGTTCAGAAAGAAGGGGACTTCACTTTGTCACTGAGACTTTATGATCAACATATTAAGGGCAGCCCGTTCAAACTTAAAGTGGTCAGATCAGCAGATGTGTCTCCTACCACTGAAGGGGTTAAGAGGCGTGTTAAATCTCCTGGCAGTGGTCATGTAAAGCAGAAAGCTGTGAAAAGGCCTGCGAGCATGTACAGCACAGGCAAAAGAAAAGAGAATCCCATTGAAGATGATTTGATCTTCAGAGTAGGTAGGTGACTTGTCTGCTACCTATTGCCATACTTAAAAATAGTTCAGGGAAACTGGATGAAAAAATCTAGAAGTTAAATTATTTTAAGGTTAAAGCTGTAAGTAGAGCAACCTGGTAATACCTTTAGGCTTCTTGACTTTTGTTCATATGTAAATTTTAAAAGCACATACTTCAGAAATACTGTTTGCAGCAAATATTTAATTGGAATTTGGGTTGAGAAATGCATGCATTTGATTTGGGATAAAATGTTTTACCACCTCTTCTGTACTCTATTGGGCATCATAAAATGAAAATATAAGAAGACTGATGCTTCAGATTAGATTAAATTACTTCTTTAAAAAGTTGCATGGCAAGAAGGGAAGTAGGAGGACTCCTTCAGGAAAATTATTGCCTTAAAGATTAATCTAATTCATTAATTTGGAACTATACTGCTAAATCCTGTGGTCATATATAGTTATTTCATTGTGTTGGCATAGGACAACATTAAAATTTCCTTTTTTTTCTTCCCCCCCCCCCCAATATCTAAATATGTTTGGTTCTTTATATAGTGTAATGTTACCTCTAAATCTGTGGACTTCTAACACTTGGTAAAAATATAACATCTTGGTGTCATTTACTGTGATTTTCTTTCAGGTCTTTTGATGTTCTCTGTTTTTAAGTTATATAATAATAAT